GAGAGAGAGAGAGGAGAGAGAAAGAGAAAGCAGCATCCCTATCACCGATCGATGTTGCGCGCATACCGGTGTTATCTACATAACATTACATGCTGACGACGTATAGATACACGAGACCGGCGGCGATCTCGCGACGTTGCTACGCCCGTGATATTGATAAATGATAATCATCGGCGCGGCCGCTGCACCGATAATTTAATAATGGTTAGATTAGTGGCGCACGCACATGTACGCGTGTAAAACCGGCACGCAGCGGCTCACGGGCCAGCCTCTCACGGCGGCATTACTATGCTAATCGGTCCGCATCGGCGCCGATGCCTCCAATAAATAATCCTCTTAACGCGACGTTAAACGGGGATGCTGCGCGGAGGCGCATCTCGGCGCATCGCGACGACGTGGCATCGACGACGAGTCTGCCGATTTGTGCGAATGCCGGATGCTGCCGGCACGCGATGAAGATACCGTCGTGATTTTTCAGAGAGCGTCTTCAACGTATCCCCGATTGCCTCGGATCATCACGTAAATATCACGTCGCCGTCGGCGCGTCGGCGTGAGACGGCGGTGCTTCAAGAGCACGTTTAAATTCGTCGCAAAAGTGCGTCGCTTATTATAGTCCAATCTGTTCTACAAGAAGACGAGAAAAACCTAAGGAGCAAGAAATTCTCGCGTTTTCGGTTGCTCGCCATGTATATTGCCTTAAAACAAAGCACAGCGCAACGCGAGACTTTATTCCCTAACACAATGTCATTTCGCACGCAAAATTATCTATGATGGAGTCATCACCGCAATTAATCGAAGAATGATTGCATGGAAACAATTCTTTGTTCGATCGATACGCGACTCTATGGTTTAATTTCCAACGAGATCAAATGTCAACCGCGATTGGCATTGGTATCGATTTCAAAGCTGTTAATCAGTCTCTTTCATTGAAACATTCACTTCACGGCTGCTGTTAGCAATCAGCTATTTTAAAAGAACGATATTTCACTTTTGCTTTGTAACTGATAACAATTAGTAAATGATTGGCAGTGAATCAAACCGGAAACAATTTTGTCGCGTCTCATCTGATTCTTACACAATGCTAATATTTTAATTACTATGTTAAAACAATTCGTAAATGGACTAAAGACAAATAGATTGATATAATCAATTGGTATAAGAGTTGGCGATGAATCTGATATAATATTTATCGGAATGATTTTTCGAATTATTCATAAGAAATTATAGTTCGTCTCTATTTTCGTACATATTTTTGACAAAGAAGCACAATGATAAAAAGGGAGAACTACAATGTTTATTTGCGTTGCGTTTGCATAAGCTGCTCACTAATTCGGCGCAATGCTTCGGGGGCCGATAAGCGCCTTGCAAGAAGATATTGTCGAATGGACGCCTTCTCTTATTATCGCGTGGGTATCATCGTAGTCTGTAATTTAAAATAATTTGGAAATAACATATTACGAAACGTAGTTAGGCATATAATATAAAGGAGGGTGGATCTCTAAAAACCGTATGGCTCGCCCCGTGCTCTCGCGCGAATGATTTAGTGAATCGTCGTGGGTGTATATTTCGCCGTCGGGGCGCGTTGTCTTTCAGTAGTTCCTTTTTTCTAACTCGATACTCTGCACGATCGGCGAAGAAGAAGAAGAGACGTACCAACGAGACGGACGTTAACCGCGAATAGAGCCGATGTTCGTTAGGTGCGGGACCACCACGCACGCGGGAACCACATAAAAAGAAGCACCCCGTTTCCCCAATTAACATTCTATCCATCCCGACGAGCTAAATAATCGTGAACGTCGCGTTGCCATGCCGAGGACAGGTGTCTCGCGATGGGACACTCGTAGGCACACTTATTTTACGGAAACCGTCGTTGCGTCTCTCGGACTCCCGCTTTAATGGCGACTTTGCGACGAACTCGCGCGGGTAGTACGCGTTGGAAAAAAATTTATGACGCTTCCCTCCCTCCTCTCAGACCGATTCCGCTCCGATCTGTCGGCTAACGCTCGGCTGATGGCCATCTGTGAAACCTCACGTGGCGCGCGTATAACGAGCGGGTTGTCATTAATTTGCCGCGTCAAGGAATAAGAGAGAAGTGTCCTCCCGCGGTCTCACGCGAGCGCGCGCACGTAACCCGTATACGATTTACGCATCGTGCACGCCTCACGTGTATTCACGCGCGCGCACGTAAGGCACGAAACGGCAAAGGCGACTAACCAAATATTTATACACGTCAATCATAACACATGGCGAAGCATTCGCTGTCTAAACAGCCCCAGTGGTACCCTCCCGTTGCGAGCCACTTTGCCACGTTGACCGTTTATTGTGCCGGCGGCATGCTGGAGGACCTTTCATTGCTCCTTTACCTATCTCTAGCGGGCACTCGATAGTTGCCGTTTGTCATACGCTCCACGATGTTTGTCTTTCCACGAGGGAAAAAAAAAGAAAAAGTCACATCGCGTTCGCTCGACTCGCGGCCGTACATCGCGCGCGCCGATATGTACGCTATTGTGAACGTTCCTGCTTTTTCCCTTCATTCAATGACTGAAGTTAGAAAGCTGAATTGCGTGTAGTTACGAGATTCAAATCGTTACCGCTTCGAGAATGACAAAGTGACACTTGCCGGTAACACCCGAGCAATCATCAGCAGGTAGGCAAAGAGTCGGTATGTGAGATACAGTTAGCAAACGTGGATATATACATGGTATTCCACAGTTAATTATTCAGGAGATGAGGAATGAGGAACGAAAAACAAGAAAAAAGTTGATATGAACATAAGTCCGAAAATGCATCGTTTTCGAGTCATCGTTATTTTTATATTAAAATTTGAAATTTCTTTGTTTTCGAATATAATATTTTTTTTGTCAAAATTGAAAGAAAAGATAATCTTTATGAATTTTATAATTAAAATCAAATAAAAGTTGCTTCTTTAGCAGTACTCAAGATGCACAACTATGGAGTCCTGATCTCTGTCAAGAGATGCTAAGTGGTTTGCTTAAAAAGCAAACACTTTTTATTTAATTTTAATTATGTTATAAAATAATATTCATAATTCATAAAGACAATCTCTTCTTTCAATTTTGACAAAAAAGACTCGAAAACAAAGTACTTGGAAATGTCAACGATAAAAATAACGATAACTCGAAAACAATGCATTTTCGGATCTATGTTCATATTAACTTTTTTTCTTGTTTTTAGATCCCTGGGCAATTCACCTCTACTTTTGAAATAAAATCAAATGTTATCATAACGTAAAACGTCGTGTAAAATATACGGAGTTTGCATGCCAAAGCCACGTAATGAAACGCAATGGAATCGGAAAAAAATCGAGTGGACACGGGCGAGGGTCGAGTGACTCTCACGAAACGATTCGATAAATGGCGAGACGCCGGTGTTGAAATCACCTTTGGCACTTTGCAATAAGCCGGGAGTGCCTCTGGTCCTTATAAACGCACAAAGACTATGCTAATGATACGAGCGTTGCATTGACGGCTGGGTAAACACGAGCCACTGCCACGAGTCCTGCCGCGAGTTTATCGTGTAAACTGCCGTTAATGATTGCCAGCAAAGACGAACTCCGTTTCAGCGCGCTGCTATTTTAGTGGCCCGAGCTTAATTTAGCGTTGCCGCTATCTAACTATTTAAATTATCCGGAAGCATAGATAATTATCGGATTGATCGTCTACGCACGTGGAGATCCTTTAAAGAATCATTGGCATCGATTTGCCTCTCAACAGGAATGACAGGTATTCGTCGCGATTAATCGCGGATTAACGAAGGTAATTTAATTTTTT